CAAATTAAGTCAAGATCATACAAATCATCAAGAAACTCTAAATGTCAGAAAATATATTTTTTACATTTTTTTTGAATTAAGGAAAAATCAAAAATGAAATTAAAATCAAGCAATTATTCAATTAACAAATATCCACCTATCAAAATAATATTTAAATCAAAAAGTTAGAAAAATGCCCAACAAAAGTTATATTTAAATATTACGACTAAAAACACACATCCATGAATTTTTGTAGGTTTTTTGAATTGATGGAAATATTAAAATAATAAAAAAAAACAATTATCAATTAAACTATTATTTAAATGGAAAAACACAAATCTTAACCAAAAATCAACAAAAGGTCAAAAATGAAATTATATTCGGACTCCATGCCTAGAAACAAGCTTACATGATTTTTTTTGAATTTTTTTTATTAAGGGAAATATTGAATTAAAAATTAAACAAAGAAATATTAAAAATAACCTTTGAAATTAAATTTTAAATCAAAAGTAAAGAAAATGATAAACCAAAGTCAGGATCAATTTTTAAATTATTTTAGGAGTCTAGGACAATTTTTGTGGAATTTTTTGGATCAAAGAATTATTAAAATAAAAATTATCTTCAAATAAACAATTAATTAAGCCTATGAATTTTTTAAACCAATCAAATCATCTTTAAAAAAATCCAAAAAAATATGACAAATACTAGAAAATAAAATTGACCTATGGTAAATTTTTTGTGATTTTTAAAAGTGTTTTGATCAGAAAATAAAATCAAACAAAATGTCAAATAAAACAAAAATTTAAATAAGTCAAATTCAAACGGACCAATCATGATGTGCCACCACATCATCTTCAACCTCTAGACATGTCAAAAACGCGTGCATCTTCTCAGGCTTAGGGCTCATGTTCAGACCAACATAACACACTCAATTTCGCATCATTTTTCATGAAATCAAAGGCAACTCAAAGCTAGAATTTCATACTTCACATTGCAATTTGAATCAAATCAAAACATTAACCACATTGTTCACAATCAAGTCATGAATATGAGAAAAATCATTCTGAATCGCGAGTTTCAGAGCATCCAATCATGCATAATTCATCAAATCAAATGCTATAAAGCCTCAAAAACATTCCATTAACATTATTGAACACAAATCCAAGCTCAAACATCTCAATAAACAAGCGCATCTCAGAAATTGAAGTTCGGAATCGTTACCTCAAGGCGAAAAGCGTTCTACTGTCTCCTTCACTCCTGATGCAAACAAATGGTGCTAGCTTGATCTACTCACTTTGCTGACGCTGAATCCACAAATTTTTTGAAGAAAATACCAAGGAATTGAGAGAGTCGAATCAAGTTGCGGAAGAAGAAGGAAAATCTAAGATTTGGAATTCCTGCAAATGGCGTATTCTCTCCCCCTCTCTTTGCTTGCTTCCTCTTATATAGAGTTTGTAGAGAAGGATAGAAGTGGAAGTTTGTCCTTAAAGTCGTTGGAGGGCAGGATTGGAAGTTTTTGCCAAAAATGAAGTGTGCATAAGATCAGCTCATTTTCTCGTGCATTTGCTTTCCTTTTGTGAACTTTGTGGGCCAAATGAAGTCAGAAATCCATGCTCAAAATGCCAGCCCATGATTACTTGAAATGAGAGAGTGTTGGTGAATTTGCAATTTTGAGCAAGTTTTGTATTTTTTTGATTCAAGCAAGTTCATGAAGCACATGGGCACGAAATGGTGAGTGTAATGGGCCTCAGCATGTCACAAATTGCTTATGGGCTTGATTAGAAGCAAGAGGGATGGCTGAAACTTGAGTTTGCAAGAAATGGCCATTTTACATATTTGTCAAATTTCACTAAAATGCCATAAAATTCCAAAACTCATAACTTGCTCATACTTTTGTATTTTGGCACAAATGAGCGCAATTTGGAAAGGTATTGAAAAGATATACAAACCCTTAGTTTAGAATTTTTGCAAATTAATCCATTAAGGTTCTCAAAATTTGGCTTGAAATTCATTAATTTTGAAAAATGCCCTATAATTTTGTAACTTCAAAAGACCATAACTCTTGATTCCTTGCGAATTTGGACATGAGACCAAAAGGAAGTGAAAGATCATTCCCTTAGATTTCCAAGCATATTTCATTTTCATTTTCTTGATCAAGGGTGAATAAGATATGAATTTTTGAAATTAAGCCCTTATTTTCCAAAATTAGTAACTTTTTAGGGTTTCTTCAAGAACAAGTTTCAACCCAAACCTCAATCTCTTTGATCCAATGACCAAAATGGACTTGAAATATGAAAAGTGAAACCTTGAATTGATGGTTGGCCAAAAATTCATTTGGTCAACCTTGACTTTGACTGATTTTGACCAAAATGACCATTTTGCCCCTCTAAAGCAATTTATCCATTTCCCTTCAAAATTGATGATCAAAACTTCAAACATATGATCTTTCAAACATATAGGGTCCATGTACAAAGTTTCACTTCAAAATTATCAAAGAAACCTGATAAAAACTCAAACACTAGTTTTAGTCAATACCTTAGGAGATTGATGAATCATCTTCAAAACTTCAAATCCTCTGGGCATCTTGACCAATTTCTTGTACAAAGACTTTTCAAATGCCAATGAGATGTTGTAGCTTCCAAATCAAGATTTGAACATGCATCAATAGCCTTGATCAAGCAAAACCCTAATTTGACTGGTGAATCCAAAGAGAGATTCCTCTTATAAATCAAACACAAATTTCAATCCTCTGATGATCCAAAGAGATGGGTGAAATATCTTGAGATATTCAATAACTTTGAGATTGAAAGATCCAGAGGTTTATATAATAAGATTCTATTTGAGCAACTTGTCAATGCAAATAACCTTCAAGGCTTGAAGAAGACTTGATAACCAAAGTACTTTGATCCCATCACAATGTATGAATGCAATGCAATATGATATTTATGATGAAACATAAGCCTAAATCAAGAGGGTAAATTTTGGGGTGCAACACATAGCACCCAAAATATTCAGAAGGGGTGAAGCTCCGCTCTTATAACGAGCGCACCTTCTGTCCGACATGGATAACTCCATCGAGCTCCATAGTCCTTGTGCCACGATAGTAGAACGCCCGACTCGCGACGGGAGGTTCATTTCGCCGAACCCAAGTCCCTCGAAATAAGATCTGGATTCCGGCCCATGCCCGGTATTCACCCTGGAAGTTTGATCAGTTTCCCCACACTGACGAACATACCAAATAAGCAAATCGCCACTATAATATTTTAGAAAAATAAAAAACATCCTAAACGAGCTAATTTGTCAACAAACATGTAAACAACACAAGTTAAATACTCAAAACAAAACGACCACTTGGGCCGCTAATATACGAATATTACAACAAAGAATAAATTTATGGCCAGAGACTAGGCTTGTTCAGAAATTACATAAATGGGCAAAAGCCCGGAGAAACAAAAATACAATAAATATGGCACGCATGCTGAAATAAAAAGAAAATAATCAGCATTCGGCTTCCTCTTCAGCGACGGGCGACAGTTGAGCAGGACCCTCGGTCAGTTGAGCAACAAAATCCTTGAGATAATCAGGGACCAGATGTTGCACCCCAAAATTCGCCCTCCTAATTTCTTTCATATGGCTTAGGTTTTTACATTCATCTTCATATATTCCATTAGGTCATTAACATAACATTGCATTCAAAAAATACTTTGGTTCAAAGGTTTAGTTGATTGAGCAAGCTAGGGTTTTCAGTGACTAAGGTGTATATGTTCAATAAAGCCCGATTCTTTTGGTTATCCTTCAAGTAGTGAAATGTGGAATTAGGGTTTTAATCTATGGTTATTGAGGGTTCTGTTCTCTTCAAGCTACATGGCTATTACTAATTCAGATGCATTCAAGGCAAGAGTCCGAGTTTTTCTCTACTAAGTTTGTGCTTGTCAGCATTTCATCAACTGAGGCTCATTAGGTTTTTAAGTCATGGCCATCTCAGTCATATTTTTTTCCATATTCCCATGTTCATTTTCAAGTTATTCTACGAGGTCACCTAAGGGCTACTAAATCAGGCATTCATTATCTCATTATGCTCAATGTCATCCTTTGGTTAGGGTTTATTTCTCTAAATCATGTACCATTCGAAAGAGGTTTCTCTATGAAGTTGTGATTATCAGGCAAGGCTATAATCAGGGGATATCGACCATGAATAACCAAAGTTTAAATTGATATATCTTTGGAAAAGAAGAAGGAAATCATTTCTTGAATCTCAAGTCTTGTGGGCACAAGCTCTATTCTACAGAAGAAGATTCAGTTGGACCTTCTTCACGAATTAAGGTTTGTATGCCTTATGATGCGAAGCTCTTCATCTGGTTAATTGTCTTACTTGTAATACATCTACTTTCTTAGGATTTCAATTCAATGCTTTGAGATCAAAATCTGAAAGCTTTGTATGGGAGATTAGGGTTTTGAATTAATGACATGCAGACGTCTAAGCATGGATTCATTCAAGTTAATTTAAGGAAACCTATATTCGTTCATTTGAAGATATTCAAGCAAGGGAGTTCATCCAAATTGACAGAGTGCAAGACACTGGGATTTCACAAACACAAGGTCAATGAAGGACTTGGGATATCAAAAATAAAGGAAAGCATTTCATTCTCGGGAAACTCAAAATCAAATGAAAAGAAAGTAGTTTGCACCCTTGATAATTTGTCATTTGGTTCAAGAGTTCCCAAAGTTACATTTGTATTCAAGATCATATTGCATTACCTTGGTTCCAAGTGAATTACAAGGGAAAAGCCATTTATAGTTCACACTATAATATTCAAGTTCATCCAATTTCACCATTCATTATAAAATCATTACAATCCTATTACACCAAAAATCCAAAAATAAAAATGTTACAAAAATGCATTTGAACAAAATTCCTAAAATAATAAAGGTGCTAAAATTCCATAATAGAACAATCCAAAACAATTGTATCCCCTAATGCCAAGAAGGTCATCATTTCTGCTCCTAGTAAAGATGCTCCCATGTTTGTTGTCGGTGTTAACTGGAATGAATACAAGCCAGAGTATGACATTATTTCTAATGCTAGATGCATCACCAACTGCCTTGCCCCACTTGCAAAGGTTATTAATGACAGGTTTGGCATTGTTGAGGGTCTCATGACCACTGTCCATTCCATTACTATCACACAGGAGACTGTTGATGGGCCATCAAGCAAATATTTGAGAGGTGGAAGAGCTGCTTCATTTAACATCATTCCCAGCAGTACTAAAGCTGTTATGGCTGTCGGTAAAGTGCTTCCTACTTTGAATGGAAAGTTGACCGGTATGTCATTCAGTGTCCCAACTGTGGATGTATTAGTTGTTGACCTTACAGTGAGGCTTGAGAGGGCTTCCACCTATGATGAGAAGCAGAAAGCTACTATACAAAGAGTGAGAACCAGGAGGCTTGAAGAACAAAATAAAGTGTTTGCTGCTAGAAAGATGTGCCTTGTACCAGACCAAAACTGCCTTACACCAGTCCTGATAAGACTCTATCAGAAGTACATGAACTTGAAAAGAGGAAAACTAGTTAATCATCTTACGTCAATTATCAAAAAACCCGACCCTGGATTAAGAAAATCTGGAAATTAATTCAGGAAACCGCAAAAGCAGAGAATCGGGAACTGTGAAATAGCCAAACTAGAAAAGTCAGAATTAAACCAAAAGGCCATCTCTTTCTAACTACCTTGCTAAAACCCATAACAGAATTTTCGGAGATCCAAAACAATTTTCTAACAACCTGTTCCCAGATTCGCATAGCCCTACATACATGACCAATTCTGCATCAGTCCAGAAATTTTCGTCAACAAATGGACAACCTTGTTCAAAGAAGAAAATCAATTAACATCACAGTTTATAAAATAAAAAACAGTAATGCTACCCTACATCAGTTTTATCAGTAGAAGTATCAGAAAATCATACTGATCAGATGAAAGAGAACAAAAATAATCAGAAAGTGAATTTAGAAATTCAAACATGTGTAACCGAATTGATCAGCTCTCTTAACTAGCAAAATAGAATTTCCTAACAGTTCATCCAACTTATCTAACAATTTTAGCTAACCACTTGCCAGCTCTAACTAACTTCTAACCATACTAACTGCTACAAATAGTGGTGGAGAAGGGGATGAGATTATGTTAACAATATAATCATATAACCCTGTAACAGAAGCAGACTTCTAGATAGATCTTATTAAAAAAAGGGAATGAAAGAAAGGAGCTTTTAATTGGCAGTTAATTCTCTCTAACCCCTAACCTTTAACAGAATTTTTAACCGACCTTTAACAGAATCTCAACTGTCAAAAGCTGTTAACAGAAGGTAGTTTCAATTTCCTAACAGCTCTAATAGTCTGTAACTAACTCTCTATTATTCAAATCTCACCTTTGATTTCCTAACTAACTTTTTTCTCACCCGATGGCCAAGATTTATTCAAGCCTCAATTTCATATCTATATAACTTCGCCTCACCTCTAGTCTCAGGGTTTTTTTTGCTTCATTCTTCAAATTCCACCTTCACCTTAACCTTCAACCTTCAGCTTTCCTTCATTCTTCAACTTCCACCTTCATCTTCAACCTTCCTCCTTCGCCTTCATTCCTCAACCATCTTGCAACCTTTGCAACACCTCATAACCGCCCCTATCGCGCATCAACGCTTCATACCAATCACCGCGTGTTCTCTGCAATATCGTTCTTCTCAGTATTTTGGTTATCCGTTCCTATCAGAAAATAAAAGAGTGAGAAAACGTAGAAAGAAGAATTGACTCGGAGGAAGATTGAGAAAAGATTGGAAAGTAAAAGAATCAAGTGAATCACGTATACCTGTTTGTGTGAAGATTATCCTCTGGTTTTCTCTTTTCATTTACCGTGTCTGAACACTGCCGGAGTGTCTCCGGAAGGTAAGCCTCGATCTCTTCCATTTCTCTATCTTTTTTTCCATTTATTAATATCGTTAGAAAACTTGACGCGTGCTGAATAATTATCCCATCGCCATCGTTCCAATTTCGATGTAGTTTTCTGTCAATTTCGTCTTCGTTCATTTCTTAGTTTTTTGCATCGTTATGAGGTAAGGAAGAGTATGGTTAGGGTTGGTTTCTATGATACGGTGGGAGAACTGACTTGAGGTTTTGAGTTTGTGTTCGCAAATGTTTCGGTTTAGCAAGAGTCGCCACCGACTTTTTATTTTATCCTAAGGAAAGGTTAAAAAGCACAGGAAAGACCTTTGAGATGTTTTCTTGGGTTCGGGGAGTAGATTATGAAAAGGGAAGGTGCAAGCACCCTTTTCATCCATGGTTATCCATGGGCTCTTAGTTACTTGTTTAGATCACTTGCTTTGCTTTTCCAATTGTTTGAAATGGTGCTTTATGTGTGGTTTTGAAAGATGTTTTTGAAAAGATGCCATCGTTGTGGCAACCTTTGTAATGATTCTTGTTTGAATGTATACAAAGGTGTTTTGTCTTTTGAAAATATTTCAATGTTTGAAAGTTTGTTTTGGAAAATGTTTTGAAATTGTGTTGTGAGGTGTGTTTGAAAATAGCAAGGATGTTTTGCAAGCTTTGATCAAGTAACTAAGAGTTGTCTACCCTATTTTACTCAAAGATCTTTCTTATTTTGTTTTTAACCCTTTTAACAGTGTTATTTCACCATTGAATTTGGTGAACAACCTTGTGTTAGGATGTTAAACGGGACAGGCGCGGGTCATCGTATAGACCATGATAGCAATTGTGTCAAGTATTTTGGCAAATTTTTGAGGGACTTGATCATTTTGTTTAGGCAACCAAGATAGCGTCATCGAGGGACTATGATCTTTTGTTTTGTTTTTGTTTTGCCAAAGTACCCAACATGCATAACATGGCCCATTTTTGAAGGTAACAAGTGGGTTGTAACCCAAGGGGTGCAAGTGTGTATTGTGTTTGATTTTCATGCATTTTTGTCTTTGATTAGGTCAAGCTATTTGATGATTTTGATTTTTGCATACAAACCCTAATTCTCTAATCATGGCATAATTGAAAGCGTAAAGTGCGAGAATTAAAAGGCTAAGCTATTACAATATGATTATGGGGATGGGGGTACAATCTTTGAATGGGGGTATTTGACAAGAAATATAAACTCTAGTTTACTATTACATCCAAATTGAATTCAAATGCATAAATAATAAATGGACAATATTTAAATAAACAAAATAAATAAATATATCAAATGAAATGAAATATGAAAAAAAAAGGTTTTGTTTACTTATGTAGGTAAAAATATTTAATGTGAAAAATAAAGAAATAAATAAAAAGATTTATTTTTATTAGGTAAAGGGTAAAACCCTAATTTTCTTTAAGAAAATAAATATGTTAATTATTTTATTTATATACAATAAAAATAAAATATTATATGTAAAAAAGTAAAAAAAGTATTTATTAAGTATATTTAATAATAAAAATAAAAGTGTAATATTTTATATTTTTATGCTAAAAATCTAATAAAATAAAAGTATATATATATATATATATATATATATATATATATATATATATATATATATATATATATATATATATATATATATATATATATATATATATATATATATATATATATATATATATATATATATATATATATATATATATATATATTAAATATGTACAATATAAAATATTTTTAATGTGAATAAAAATAAAGAACAAAAATAAAAGTATGATTTATATGTTATTTCTAAGTTTTAATAAATAAGATAAAAGTGTTTAAATTGTTTTCTATAAAAATAAAATGCAAAATAAATGTGAAAAAATTATGACAATATTTTTGAGCATTTTTTATATTTGGGAATAAATAAATAAAGTCAGAAATGAAAATAAAAATTCAAAAATATAAAAGTACAAGAAATTGGGCCAGGGGGTGCAAAAAGAAAAATGGGGTGTCAAAAGCAGCCAGGCCAAGCCCAGCCAAAACTTCATCTTCAACCTCTGGCTTTTAAAAAACACGCGCGTGCCCTGTACAAACTACCAGATCCTGTATACAAGCTCTATTGCAAAAAGACATAACATCAAACTTGTAGAGAATTTCAAGACGATTCCAACCATATAAACAACTTGTATTAACTCTCAAAGACCAGAGAGAATTTCTCTGGCCCTAAAATCTGACCTAGTTTTTTTAGCATGTTCATGGATGAAATTCTCTTAGCACACTTAATATAAATGAAAACTGAGCATATTTACAGCTTCGTGGCAATGAATATTACATTTTATATTCACAAACCTAAAGCTAAATGTTCCTAAATAAAGAGATAGGAAGTGGACAAAAACCTGTTTCAGTTCACTTCGTGTAGGGCGATGTAGAGCTTTTCAACAAGGCTTGAGATGTCTGGGAGGTTGCTTGGACTTCACTTGACCTTCTCCAATAGCCTGCTTGCCTTGAATGTACTTGAATCAGCCTGTAGAACTCAACCTGCACAAGCTCAAAATGAAAATGGAAAACACTGTAAATGGAGTTACAGTTGGTGTTTGAGGTTTGGGATAGCTTGGATGAGTTGAATGGAAGGTGTTTGAAGCAACTTGGGGCAAACGCACGAGCCAAATGAGCTATGGAACTCAACTTGCAGGTTCTGCCCTGTTTTTCCAAGGGAATGTGATTTCTGGCTATGGGGTGTTTAGAGGATCAAGCAATCGTGTTTCTGGCTCAAAGGGGTGTGTGAAAGATGTTCAAACTGTTTGCATAAGCTTGTTTTGGCTGGTGTTCCTGTTCTAAGGTTTTGGACAAGTTTCTTGTTTTTGAAGTAAGAATGTGGAAGTGATTGTAACAGGCCTGTACAGGCTATCAAATAACTTGTAACTTCTACTCTTGGCCCCTCTAATTTGTGGATTTGTTTTGCTACAAGAGATCTTGGACCAAGGCTCAAGGATTGTGGTTTGACATAAAGCATACTTAAGCAAAAATGGAAATTTGCCTTTTTCTACTTAGGGCTTAATTTTGTGTACAATGTCCAAATGACCAAAACAAAAGCTTAGATTGATGGATTTGAATTTAATTATGGAGTGTGGAGTGGTTTAGAGGCCTGTAAACTAGTGTAAGGCATGCTGACTTGAAATTGCAACTTGCATGAACATGAATATGCCATGGATGAAAAGTGAGTTTTTGCCAACTTCAAGCCTTCGATTCTCCCTAACCACAAATGTGTTTGAGGAGTTCTTGGACAATTTTGAAAGCTTGAAACATGATATATAATCCATCTTTGAAATGAAACTTGAGATTCCAAGTGGAACTATGTGAAAAATGGCCAAGAAGATAGGTCAAAATCCTGCTTAAACTAGGGCAAAATTTCACTAAGTTAAAAGTTTTAGGGACCCTTGTTCCAAAAATAATAACTTGAGATCCAAGATTATTTTGAGAAAACTTTGTGAATAAAAGTTGTAGACTTTGTGGAGGACTACAACTTTCATGTTGGAAGTTTTGTTTGAATCCAAATGAATCATGGTGAAAATGTTGGGCAAAGTTAGGAAATATTAAGAAAATTTCATAACTTAGAAAAATTCTAAGTTATGAAATTTTTCAACTTTAAACCCTAATTTGCAATTTTGGGTTTCTTAATGAACAAGTTTCATATTT